CAGGGAGGTGGTTCTATCCTAGACAGAGGAGCAGGGGGCCTGTCCTGAAGGGGATATTCTCAAGGCCTTCCCTGGGGAGTTAGTTTGTGTTACACAGAAAAGGTTCTTGGGAGAATGGGTGGGGACAATTCTGGATAAGTCTTTACTGAGGAACTTCTCAGTTCCTTTCAAACATTACCATCCGAGTGGAAGAGAGAGGATGCAGCGTTTCCCAAGCTTATTTGACCGTGGAGCCCATTTTTTGTGAATCATCTCCAGGGTCCCACAAGGTGCACTTTGCCAAACGCTGCTGCAGGTGAAGAGGCTCTTTCGTGGGGTAGGGGCAAGGACATGCTTGCCTTGAGTTAGCTCAGCAGGCAGTGGGCGGGGGAATTGGTTGGCAGAGCAAGATGAAGTATAAGGGGACCTGTGGGCTTACTCTCCTATCATACACATCTATCGCCCCTTCTGAGCTAACAGGCCCTCAACCCCAGAGGCAGTGATTCAAATACCAGATGCCCCCGCACCCCGAGACTCAGTGGCATCCACTGGAAGCGTCCTAATGTGGCAGAGTGGCGTTTGACATTCTGGGTTCAGAGTGACATCACCACCTGTTGCTGCCCAGAGACCCAGCCCACCTCCCTCCTCCCCGGGCATTAACTGGAGGGCAGCTGGGGAGCAGGAGGCAGGGTGGACAAACAGGATGGTCAGCGGGGGAGGAGGTGGCCAGGCCCACGGTTACACAAGCCCACATCACCTTGGGGCTGTTAATATTAACTCAGCCCCCAGCCTGGGGAAACATCAGCAGTCTCCAGAGTCGCGGCCCTGGTAAACGTTGACTTGCCCGTCTTGTTGGCTAGATCTTCAACGTTTCTCACTTGGCCTTAGATTGCTCAGTCCTCCATAAATATGGAGCTTTAATCCTCTGTGGCTGCATGTTGGGGAACGTTCCTCCCATGGGACAGGGCAGAACCTGGTGGAGGACTGAATGTGAGCAGAAAACCCACCAGAAGCAGCATGGATGGTCAACCAAAGGGCTTCAGGATAATTGTCATCTTGAGACATTTCAGTCAGAGTGCCATCACAGCTGCTTCTAAGAAGAGTATAACTCTTCCTGGTGGGCACTCCCTGTGTTTTGTGTCTGGACATTTTTTGATTCCTAGTCTTTGCTCACAGAAACTAAGCTTATGAATAAGTAGATTCAGTCAACCAGCCATTCTTTCATTCAACCTTCTTGTACTCAGTGCCAACCACGTGCCAGTCCTGGGCTAGCCATTGTGCTATGTGTCAGTTCCATGTGAGTTCAGTGAATAATTATGAATTACAAATTTCTTTGTAAAAAGTAGCAAGGACTTTGTAGACACACTATTGCCTGCTGCTTCTTCAGAGGATTGTCTTTGGGGTCAATGAGGACAGTGGTACAGGTTGTGCACTGCTCATAGGTGCCTGGCAGAGGGAGTATGGAGCCTGAAATCCAGCCCATGCTACACTCGCCAAGTGGTGCATGCTAGTACATGTTGACATTCATCTGGTAAAAAGGTGTTCTTTTTAATTTGCACGAAGATGCTATTACTCCAGAGAGTGTGTCATAAAACAAGTATCGTCATATGTCATAAAACAAGCTTGTGTCATAACAAGCACAGTCAAGTGTTAATGTAGAATCTAGGTGGTAGAGTTAAGGCATCCACCATAAAAACCTTTCTAATTTGCTCTACATTTTAACACTGTCATGATAAAATGTTGGGAAGGGTGGAACGCTATTCCTCATCAAGTTATGCATGGGTCGGGGAGATGCTGTCAGAGGTTCGATTGTATCCCTCCTAAAATTTGTACATGGAAGTTCTAACCCTCAGTACCTCAGAATGTCACCTCATTTGGAGTTAGGGTCTTTATAGAGGTAGTCAACTTAAAATGAGCTCATGATGGGGGGCCATAATCCAATCTGACTGGTGCCCTTATAAGAGGAAGACATTTGGACACAGAGACATGAGCATAGAGGGAAGACGATGTAAAGACACAGTGAGAACACCATGTGAGCATGATGGTGGTCAGTCTACAAGCCAAGCAGGAAGGCCTGGAATAGG